CAGTTGATTTTATTGACTTTTCTCTTGTTGGTTTTTCCTAGACTAAGAATTCAACTGTTTTTTGCACATTGACCGGTTGATTCTGTGGGGTACAGGATTTCAAGGGTTCAGCATGTTACATTTCCATTGGAAGAGTAAGAGAATTCAATTCATGTGAACAATTCTATTTGTTTTCAGATCAGCAGAATAGAGTATGTTCATTGTAAAAATTTCATCCACCGGGATATCAAGCCAGACAACTTTCTGATGGGACTTGGAAAGAAGGGGAGTCTAGTGTACATCATTGACTTTGGACTTGCCAAGAAGTACAGAGACCCAAGAACACATCAACATATACCATACAGAGAAAATAAAAACCTCACTGGAACAGCCAGATATGCCAGTATCAATACTCACCTGGGAATTGGTAGGTTGAGACTAGCATTTCACATTCTGAACATGCTTGTCATGGAGTAAATTTGTTGCTTATTGAACCTTTCAATGTTCGCAGAATTGTTAAGGCCACTCTTTTCGCTTTGAATAATTATGATTCAAGGTGCAAAAAGGTTGCAATGTCTGTGTCATCTCTTATGTAAAGAAAACTGGCTTTATTTGTGTTGTTTTCTTGGGCAAGGCCCTTCACTCTCCTCTGATGATTATTGGAAAACTGTTTGGGATACATGAAAAATTTCCAGGGGTTACAAGTATCCTGTATGAGTGGAATAGCAAAACCCTTAGTCACTCGAAGTGCCAAGGAAATGGGTGGATGCTCTGGTATGGTTATGCACTTGGCTTACAAAGTTTAACATAACACATCTCTTTGATGTATATTTTCCCGACTGTAGAACAAAGCAGAAGAGATGATTTAGAATCACTTGGTTATGTACTGATGTACTTCAACCTGGGAAGCCTTCCATGGCAAGGCCTTAAAGCTGCCACTAAAAAACAAAAATATGAACGGATCAGCGAAAAGAAAATGTCCACACCCATTGAGATCCTCTGTAAAGGATTTCCATGTAAGTGTTTTGATATATTTTTACAGAAAAGTAATGATGTCTTCATGATCGAAAGGAATTAATTTTTTTAATTTTAGAAGGCTAGCCACTTTTCATAGATAATTATGTTCATTGTTATGCAAGACTTGAAGTTGTCAGTGTGAAAGGGGTAAGTAATTATGAGTAATTATTGCAGTCATTTGACAGTAATGATCTCTAATGATTTTTTTTGAACAATCATGATTTTACATTTAGGGATCGTTCTTTAATCTGGCAACCAGAATTTTTTAGTACCTAGATCAACTTTTGATCTCCTGAAACAATATCTCCCCAGATTAACCATCATGAGATTGTCAAAGGTTGGTGGTAGAAACCACTTGGCCTGATTGTAGGGACCCCTTTTTGTTTGTTTATTTATTTTTTGTTTTTCTGGAGAGTTCTTCTTTTGGGGGAAGGAAACTGTCATAATCTATTTATTTAAAGACTCTTAATCATTCTAAAATATTATTTGAACAATTTTTGATTCTGCAGCTGAATTTTCCACTTACCTCAATAACTGCCGGTCACTACGCTTTGATGACAAGCCAGACTACTCTTATCTACGCCAACTTTTCCGCAACCTTTTTCACTGTCAAGGATATGTTTATGACTACATATTTGATTGGAATCTCCTCAAGTTTGTGAGTTATGAATTAGTATGCATGTAGCTTCTTTGAACTAGTTTTAGTTTACCCTGCAGGCTATGTGAAAATCAAACAGTTTACACTTGTCTCCTTTTGTTGAATAGATCCTCCTGACCCTTTGGTATGACTCTTTTAGGCGAGGTTTGATAACTAACAGAAAATTAACAACTTCCTAAGTGATTGAATGATCAGGGTGGTAATCTTGTGGTGGATTCATCCCACAATATTTACTTTATCTATGAGATCTGGGTAGAGCATTTTGTTGCACTGCTGATTGCAACGGTTGCAATCAATGACTGCACTCAACAGAGCAGTGGAAATTCAATCTTAATTTAAGCAAGAGAAACAAAAATTTAAGTGCTGGCTGACTGAAATAAGCGTGATTTTCCCAGCTACACTGTCAGGATTTATAAATTGCAGCTACTAGCCTATTTTGGAAACTGAAACTTTTCTCAATACTTTCTTTTTGTGAGCTTCTAACAGTCAGTTCTCTATAGGGGAATCCTTGTTTACAAGATTTGCCTCATTAGCATAAGCAATTCAGTTTCTGATGGAGCTAAAAATAAATCAGTTTTGAATATGGAAAGGTCAAAGTACGATTAACTCGGCCAATGAATACGAGTCTGATGCATTGAATACTTTTTGTGCAACACGGGTTTAAAAACTCAAAATTTTACATAGAATGTATGAGCTCATTAGCGCTTTTGCCACCCAGAAATTTTGCAGTTTTTGATGGACTATTTCTCCTTGAATATTACACTCAAAGAGCTAGAAATTTCACCTTGTACTAAGGTTTTCTACCTCTTTAGCTGCCTGAAGTCAATTTGTATCTAACATGCTTCCTTCTTTACGCAAAGCCGTATGCAAATGAGCAAAAATGTAAATAATGACGTCAGCATGAATCCGCCTATTCTGCCATAGGGAAGTGGTCGTGAGCCAGATGCCGGCGCTGACAGACCACCAATGAGAGGAGGAGAGAAGGCACTTGAGAGGGAACGTGAACCAAGGGAACCGGAGCGGAACCATCGAAGCTCCACTACCCGTGCTGTTGCTGGTGGGGCATCCGGTCGGCTCCGAGATCCACTGAGTGGTGCCACGCCCACCCCTGTTGGTAGGTTCAAGATTTGAAGCTTCAACATCCCCACCTCCACCCTTGCGCGACCCATTTGCATTTGACTGCCGCTCGTGATGAGGGATGGGGAGTTTTAACCTTGTCTGATCAGGGCGGGGAATTTGAACTAGAAGTTTCAAGCTTTTCCAGTAGAATACAAATGATGGAAGAGTTAAAGGTAAATAATTCTCTGTCGCAAGAAAATGGCCACAGAAGAAAGGTTCCACAAGGTCTGGGCTTTAGAGTTTGATCAATGGGGAGAAAGTCACGGTCGCTTATTTTGCCTTTCGCAAAAAAATTGGTAGGGGCATTTGAACTCATCTCCAAAAGTTGAAATGCTTGGGGGATTGCCGGGGTGGGGGGTGGATGTTGAAGCTTCGAATTGATCAACACGTTACTGTTACTGTCTTCGTTTGCTAAGTTAACTCACTGAATGGTATACCTGCATGTATCTTCATCGTGTTTATATTGTTTTCTGCCCTAAAAGGTGCACAGAGACCCATTTCACGGGCTGAAAGAGAAAGACGGATCACGCGCCTTCATCGTGGGGCCCCAGCTGATATCCCAGGCGGGGATCTCCCTCGGGGTGACATGTCGCGAATGTCTGGTGCCCATGTGCGTTCGACCCCTGTGATGACTCCAACGTCCTCCGGGACTGGATTGAGACGCGCCAGTGGAACCAGGCAGCAGGAAAGGGATCCTGGAATGATGGAACTCTCCAATGTACGTCATTCATCGAAACATTTCACGCGTGCTACAAAATGACTTGAAAAAATACACACTAATGAACATCTCTTTACATAAGAGGCTAACATCATTGTGATCCAGAAGTAGGAAGTATTATGTTGTTATCGTTCTTTTAGTTCCTGAGAGAGACGTCTTGTGTTTTTGCTCGCAGTGGAATAGTTAAGCTGTGTCCGTGGTAGTCCTGCCAGTGCACATCAACTAATAGGAGGCACTTTTTCTCTCCTTTTTTTTTAATACTGAACTATTGGTGTGGTGGCCGGAACACCATCCGCGAGTTTATGAAGAAATAGTGTAGTGTCATAGTTTATTTAATTCCCATCCAAATGCCAGACACTAATCTTTCGATTGATTGAAAGATATTGATATGCTTTAGCTCTTTTTATACTGTGTGACTAAGTCAACTTAACCAAATAGAGTGGAGTTTGACAATCGAACGTAAGCTGAAGAATGAAGATCAACCGCTAGTCAATCTCTTTCACAAGTTTACATAGGTGCAACGAGAACTAGAGCATTGAGATGTGAGTTGGTTTTCTCTCGAAAAAGTAAATAGCTTCCATTAATCTCCAGCCACTCTAAACTATTGTAAAGCTCTACGGTAGTGCGTTGATGACTACGACTGAGTATTGTATAAAGTGTAAAATGAAGAAAGACCAAAGCTTTGAATCTTTTTGTCAGGTGGTCTTGTTCTTGCTTAGAGAGTTAATAATTCATTGAACTTTGCCTACAGACAGTTACCGTAACGATTCAATTTAGCAACCGGGGTGCTTATTTACTTAGGATACCTGAAGAGAGGGCGTATACTCGAAACAGGGTACTTATTAGGGACAGTGCACTTCTTTCTTTCTTTTTCCTTTTTTTTCTTTCTTTTTTTTTTTTTTTTAAGAAATGTGCTGAATAAGCTTTGATGTTCATTTGATCATTTGAAAGGAGTCATGAAGACTCACTGCTAACCGGTCTTGTTGTCCCTGGATCCTTCCTAGCTAGAACGAACAGCCAAGCAATCGTCTAAAAAATTTTAGGACGAGATCTTCCGTTTGAAGGAACCGTGCACAAACGTGGACGTAATAGATGATAGGCTGAGACGTAGACCCCTTTTTTTTAATTTTTAAAAATTTTTATCAGGGTTTGAATGAGGAAGTCAAAGAAGATGAACCACAGTAGCAGTGCCACCACTGAAACAGGGGCACTTATCAAAGTGAGGGTGCGTATTCAACAGCGGCCGTCATTAGGATAGGGTTGCTAATTGACGAAAACAAAGTGGCCCTTAATCGAAAAACAGCGCAAAGTCAAATCATTACGGTAGATCCAACATTCTTGGAAAACGAGGAAATAGAGATCATTTGAGTGTGGTAAAACCAAAACAAACTTATGAAACAGCCAATCAGGAAACTTCCCGAAACGCTGGGAAACACAGGTGAACAGGTCGAGTCTGCTTTGCCTTTAGATCTAAATGTCTAAGTGCGATAACAGTCTTTTGACTACCGGTTATCTTAAACCATAATTTATGAATGTACCCACGACAAAAAGCAAATGCAGATGCACCTGAAATATCTTTCCTCTATGCCCCCTTTGTTCAAAGCTTCTCTCGATCAAACGCTCTTTAAACCGGGACTAATCAATAAGGAGCATAAATATCTCCTTTTACGGTAACGCCGTTGTGACCCCTTAATTGCGCTTGTGTAGCGTTCTCTGTCAGTGGAAGATCTCAAGTGCCTGCCATTATCCGATCTGGAGAAAAAAACCAAAGTCCAAATGGCCAATGACCACGCACGTAAGCTAGTAAAACTTCAGCACGGAAATTACGGCAAAGTGACTTGCATTTTGAGAGTAAATATTGAGCTATTATACACAAGACTCGTAAACTGTGTTTCTTGCCTCCACTACAATTCTCCATTCTCTTCTGTGGCTACTTCTTGATCGTGAACTTAAATTCCTGGTGGTTTCGCCGCTAATTTTCCGTTCCAGCACAGGCGCCTTTTGTTTTGCGCATTTGTGGCAAGGTGCGCAGAGAACTGCGCGAAAACCCTTGCGAAACTTATTGTTCATGAGTCCGTAGATAAACGGGTTGCAAGAACTAGAAAGGAAAGTTAAAAACGTGCTCATGGCATCCAAGATTCGCGGAATTGATTGAATGATGCCAAAACCGTTCATGAGGTTGACAGTAATATGTGGAGTCCAACAGGCTACGAAGACACAGACAACTACGAGCAATAATTTTGTCACTTTGAAGTCTTGAAATGTAGAACGGGTGGCCTTTCTGAAACTTGCTGATAAACTGTTGATTCTCATTTTTCTGCTGTGACCTCGAATGAAGCGAAAGATTCGGTAGTAAGAAACTGTGATCAAAATGTAAGGCAAAATAAACACCACAATTGCTAAAATAATTGTGTATGGTAGGTGCTCATTTAGGTTGAAATAGCACGTTGATTTACCGACGGTAAAGACATATTTAGACCAATCAAATAGGGGTGGAAGGGCACAGAGAAGCGACAAGATCCACGTTGCCGTAATCATGGCCAAGGTTCGCCGGCGCGTAAAAATGGCAGAGAATTTACCAGGCTGTACGATACACCAGTATCTACTAATGCTGACCAAGGCAAGAGACCACAAAGCTTCGAAGAGGAATAAGGAGTTAGTGAAACCTGCGATCTGGCACACGAAATCAGTCAATACCCAACGGTTATAAATGACAGTTACCAAGGAAACGGGGATATTAAATAGACACATCCCCAGGTCCGCAACGGCCAGGTTACTTATAATTAGATTTGTGACTGTTCGAAGTCGTCGCGTTCTCCGAACTAGATAACATACTAAAAAGTTCCCGGGAATCCCAGTTAGAATAAATAAACACATCCCGATCCCTTGAATGATCCTTAACGCCAGGAATTCTCCTTGGTCACTATCAGAGTTACTCGTGCGATTTAATGATGGCGAGAAATTAAAATTTGACATGATTTGCTGTGTCTGAATTGGGTCAAAATATCTTAACAGTAGCCCAATAACTGTCTCGCTAAATGTTGCCGCTTGGACGATTATTCAGCAGAACTTTTCAGCAGGTTGTCTCTGTTCTCCCTTTGCGATAGTTTTATAGCTGTCGAAGAGCGATAAGGTCAAGGACGAACCAGAAATATCGTTCGCGAACACCAAGCAATTCTCGCTGGCAAAGCACAGTCCACAGCTATATGTGAATCTTGACTTTCTGACAATTTCACTGAAGAGAAAATAATTTCTCTACCTTTTGTGAACGTCTTACTACCGAGATGTCAGACTCAGATCTAACAAGAATAAGGAAGTTAAGGCACTTGGTTCCTCTTCCCCGTCTAGATGAAAGCTGCTCTTTGTTCTGTTCGTGCACATGCGACCCTCTTGCGACGTGTTTTCGCCTTCAAAGTACAGTGGCTAATTTTTTTTCTCCGAGTGACACAAACACTAGCGAATCAATGCATCGTGTGACAGCAGATGTTTTCATAAAGTTACGTTTGAAATCAAACGGTGAATTTCATTCACCTTCCATGAGGGATTAATACCCATTTTTTTGTGGGACCGGTCTTCAGATCGACGCAAAGTGGTGCTTAAGTCTTTCTCACGGACAATAATCGTCAAAAATTAAACGCAAAGTAGAATCAACGCTTCTCATTTGGAGCTTGAAGTTCACATTTGCATTTGCATTAGTTCAATTCCTGTCTCTTTTTCGCCTTGGTTAATGAGAAGACTTATCTACAAACATCTGCCACTGATATTGAATTCCGTTTTGATCGGTGGTATGATGTTCGCCTCTAAGTCTTCGCAAGGGAAAAAAAACTATCACTTATTTTAGGGCGTTCCAAACTTGAATTGTCGATATTTTTTCTTCACTGAGGTCTACAAAAAATCGTCTAGATTTTCCTCTTTACGGGAAAGCTCGAAAAACATACATTGATACCCTCACTTTCACTGAAATGTTAACAGAAAATTGCATGCACAATAGATTTCAAACTGTTGAAAAATATGCAAATTTGATTGGCTGTTAGGAAAATGACCATTCACACTGAGAACCTACGAAGTAAATATTGCAGGAGACATGAAAATTGTCATTTTGTTCCAACAACATTTACTTCGAAAACAATTCTAAGAATAAATTGTGGTATTCTATGACCCTTCATAAATTTAAACGAATCGACGAATTTAAAGAAACAACAATGCATGCAGTGGGTGTTTGAGCGGAGGGATCTTTTCGGAAGGAAATATTTGATAAAAACAAAACACACGAAGGCGGTTGTAAGACGGCTAGGCCGACACATAACCAAATTTATGCCCTCGTAATCACTTGCGAAAAAATCATTTTGAACTAAAATTTACAAGAAAACAACCTTGACCTTTTGAATTGCGTCTGGAAAACAGTTTTACGACTCGACTTTCTTTTCTCGAATCCTCGGGTTAAAAAGGCTGACAAACTTATTTTTTCCTGATTAGGTAAAAACAGATCCGGCTGTAAATCGCATGAAATCAATTTTGGGTTGATTTGAAAAAGCAGACACAGAATCAGATTGTCCAAGCGTCGTGTGAAAAGCTTTAATACCAAAAGTTTCCTTCACTTTGCAATAAAATATCCATATTTACACCTTCACACGAGCGAATGGTTCATGAGATAAACGTTCTTATTGACCAGTAAACGTGGTAGAACGCATAGGTTTATCAAAAACCTCCTTGTGGTTAAAGGGAGTATAATAAATAGTTTATTTAACTGATTGCTTTACCTTTTTACCAAGAATGAATTTAAATTGAACTGGTATACTTGTAGCGATGACCGCCATCGTTTCAGAACACTATTTAATGAAGGTCATCAACACATCCTCTTCTCACGTAAAAAGGTGAAGATTTCAGATAACTGCGGGATAACGAACTATTGTACTAAATAAAAGAAAAGACGTTACAAACATACAAAGGTTTGAAAATGTTCGGTCGTTCATTTTTCCGTATGAGGTTGTGCGGAGGCGGAACACTTGGCAGCTGTCGGCTGTCTCTGAGAAAATTTCCATGACATCCTACAGTCGAGTTTTTCAAGGAAATAAAAAATGTCATTCCCCCAACCCTAAAGTGTTAATCACATTTTTGCAATAACAGCTTGACTTTTCACCGGTGTCAACGTGGTTATTCTTTTTCTACGTGATTTTTAAGCCTGTCATTCTAAAACGAAATATCCCCAAACTACTCAAATTCATAAAGAAAAGCGATTCGAAAATCTTAGGTTATTTTTCGATCTTTTACTTTTTTCTGAAAAAAATTGCACTCAAATCCTTCCTGCTAGTTAAGTTTTATCCTGTCATACCCATAAACGCCATAGAAATTAGTCATTTTCCCACAAAAAGTGTGGTTGACATACTGGACTGATGAACTATTAACTCTGAAGAGTGATTCATTTGATCACCTTTTTGAGAGCTTTCAGAATGAAAGCTGATTCCGACAACAAAGGGCCCTTAACGCGGAAAAAAGTAAAGCCTGCTTCGCATTGTTGTACAAGTGTTAATTGCTTCATTGAAAGTAGCCACATACTGCAATGGTAAATAAAAATTGTTTGAAGTTGAGGTGAAAACGCAAAGTTGCTCATGGTCTACGAGACGAAGTAAAGTAAAGTAGCTTTCATGGTTTGCGGAAAAACGATATTTTCAAAATTAATTCGGCTTTAACAGAGTATTGTTTACTTCCTCGACAGGATATAAATTAAGTCAAATCATTTCATTCGCAGCTGTTATATATTGGGTCGTGATCCTCGTTTGATCCAGCACTGTGCATGCGTCATTCCAAATAACGGGTGTAAATCATAAGGTACAAAAAATTGTGGACCAGCGGGTGGTCTAGAACGAAGGTTACGGGTGGTGGGTCGAGTCACGAGTCGTAACTTGTGGGTTGCGAGTCAATAGTCGCAGGGTACTGTTAAATTTTTACCCAACGAAACTGGGTTTTTTCCTGAAAGACTTTTTAAACAAAATATTTCTTCATTTTAAAATATCTTCGAGTCAAGAGTATTGGATTGAAATACTATCTGTCAATGCTCGTCGCTTTATTTATGTTTCTTGAATCACAGGCGTCCCAAGTTTACTGAGTGCGATTTTGGCAAGTTCGCTATTGAAGATCAATCTGCAATATCCATGAAGCAATGTTATGTACTTCCCATGCAAGTAACGCCGTGCATGTTAGATTAACCAGTCCAAAGGCTAAATCTAGTCCAAACACCGTTTCGTCCACATTGTCGGGTGGAATGCGAATTCTCCTCATTACCAACCGCCGTATCTTCTCCAATAAACGTCCAACTATTAAATTCAAAAGAAATGCGCAAAAAACAAGGAAAACTACTAAAGATACTCTTCTCACGTAACTTGCACTCTCCACTTGATGTAAAATTTCTGAAATCCTGCTAAACAAAGACAAGTCCATCTTTCGAAAAGACCAACTTTTAACAGCTGGTTTACCAATGTTGTTCAATCGTTCGTGAATCAGCATTGCCAGAAATGCCTAGTTGAAGACCATTTATTTACGAAAATTTGGAACAAATCATGGGTATTACTTTCCGGCCCTGTGACAACAATTTTCTTGAGTCAGGGGTTGCTGTTAAATGGCCTTAGAGCGTCGCCGTATACTCCGCCATTTTGCTACAGTGAGCCCGCAGTCCAAAACATTGTTCATGTATGATGAACATATCTTACCTAGGATCTATCTTTGAGGGGATACGTCGAATAGTATAGAGTGACATACAAGAAATACAAGAAAGACAGCAACATATTACAACAACTGAAGCAATACCGAGCTATAACTTAATTTCCATATCACAACCCAGGATCTTTGCTTGGAGAAAAGAAGAAGATCCAAGACTAATATGACTGAAGAGATCACAAAAGAGTTCCCAACAAGTTCTTTTAGTGTATACACCAAATGCAAATATGGCGTCCAATTTGAATTGCCATTGTTCTGGACTGACTAGCCTCTCACACATGTAATAATCCTTTCGTGTTTTCACGTGAAGACGAGGCTAGTCAGCCCAAAACTATGGCAATTCAAATTGGACACCATATTTGCATCCGGTGTATACTCTTTTTTCACTGAAAATGGTAGCAATGAAGCACAGTGGAAATCTATGATGACTTATAAATACAAGAATTTTGTCTTGGAGCGACAAAGTTACCATGTGTTTATATTGCACTGGAAACAGCCATCTCCAACATTCACAAAATTTGTAATGCCCAACCTAGTAAATATTAGGAACATAATAACCCATTTCATGAACTATCCATCAAACAAGTAGAACTGAATGTTCATTGAAAATTCTCCAAAGTACAGAATTAGCGTGATTCAATTAGCTGCATTTCTTTAAAAAGAAAGCTATGAATCTATGTAACTAAAAGACAAGTATCAGAAGTTTGCTGCATTGGACTAACAAAGTACAGCTATTACATATTTATCAAGTGGCATAACATAATGAAACTGCTGAATATCCTGCCCTAAATTACTAGAGGATGAAATCAAGAAAACTAATTATTACACTATCATGCTACAAATAAATTGCAAGCTCCAAGTATGGATCCTTGCATTTTTTTTCTATTTTTTTCCTCTCTTTTTTTTCTTTTTTTCTTTTTTAGCTAATGACTGCCTTATACAGGAGTACTTATTTTGTTTATAGGTCTATTCTAGAAAAGATCATTTGAATATGAAAAAATTATTGGATTAAATCAATCATCGATTATTTCCCTTTTTTTGGACAAAAGCTGCACAAACTGTTTCCCAGAAGCTATCGTTGGCGAGTATTTTCTAAATCCCCTTCTTTCAAAATAGCAAGACATTTTACCATTAATGACTCAAGATGTATGCTACAGTTCCAAAAGCCTCTATTAAATGTTAGCGAATAACTGAATACACTAAAAGTTCTAATTAAGGTTTCACAAGTTATGTTTTCATCCAAGCCCCACATCTTGGGACATCATGACTACAAAACCAACAATCGTTGTACATGAAGCTAACTGTCCATTACCACTGTAAGAATGAAGAAAACAACAACAACATCTTTATTTATGATCACAATTTAATTTAAAAATTATGACTACCTGCAATATAGCAAAGCTAATTGAGGCAGGTAGTATAAGAAACGTGTCAATTACATAATAAATAAATATAATATTATTCTAATGACAAAAAATTAAAATAAAATAAAAATTAATGGTTTTGCCACCTCACTTATAATTCACATAATATCAGGCTGCAGTTTTTTTTTTTTCATATTTCTAAAAGAGAAAATTATCTCATTTAATGTCTGGGCAACCCAATCAGTTGCACATTAAAGAATTAGTAGCTGACAACAAAACTTGCCACTTTTTACAAAGAAATGTGTTCCAGGAGAAAGAACAAATACTTGTGGAAATTGAAAACTGTTCAGTATCATGTATATGATATTTGGAAAATGAATTTTGTCAAACCTTGTCTGGGCCTCTGGTATAATATCGTCAACTACAACATAGACCATTGCACCAGCTGCAAATGCCAAAGCATATGGTAACAAGGGCTCAGCAACCTAGAATATCAAATATACATCACATTGTAACACATTATTGAAGCAAAATTTTAACTTATTGTAGTTTTAAAGGTGGTTGGCAAAACACCTACAACAGTTTTGAACCCTATGACTAGCATTTCACATGATGAAGAAACCAATGAATGGATGCAAAAGAACAAGAGCAACCAAATTTGTGACTACTTTAGAACACTTGTAAAATTTTAGCCAAAAATTTTCAAGTTTGTTAAATTTTAATTTTCTTTCTATTTGGGAGCCATCTTTTTAACTCCTAGTTTATTGTTTTGGGTTTGTTCACCATTGCAAACTACTTATTTTGAGCTCTCTTCTCATCGAGAGAAAAGTTTCACTGTCAGAAAAATAACCGAAATATTGTCACTATAGATACATTCTCATCTTTTTCTGGAACAATAGTACTAGCACTTACCACTACTGCAAGAGCACCAAACACTCCAGCCAATGGTTCTACCATTCCACTTAGCTGACCATACCTAGAATAAAAGTCAATACAGCAAAGCAAGTGAGGAAAGTCAATAGTCCAATGTAAAAATGCTCAACTACAGAGGTTAAACTTACAGTAATTGTTAATAGAAGTTATTGGCATGCTGCCTGCCGTAGGCATGGGAATAATGAAACTGTCATTGACAAATATTTTGTGATCATCAGTTCTCACCATACCTGTACAATTCCATGTATATTAAACGAAAAATTATATTCAAGTTGGCTCCCTCTTGCAAATAAGCTTGAAAATTCTCATTACTCCTTTGCAAGATAACATATTCTAATCACATGGAGAATTTACAGATTACATGATTGTAATATTCACTTCAAGGAGATGAAGTGTTAAACCAGCCACAACTATGTACACCAAGTTACATGTAACTGAAATCATGCTGTGAATTGAAGAAAACCACAAACATATACACTAACCAAAAGCTCTTCCATGAGGAAAATCCTGCCCCTCGGAGTGGGAGACTGACAGCTAGTCCTTCTGGAAAATTCTGAATTGCGATACCTATTGCTAAATTCCTAGATAAAGTATACAACAGACACAAGAAGAAGAAAATTTAGGAAGAGCCTCTTACAAACAATTACTTGAATGAGGAAGTTTTAATTAAAACCCTCATGTACCTTGCATTTTCAAAGGTTGCAGCAGCTGTTTTTCCTACCGCACCAAACCCTACTCCAACAGCCAGACCCTCTGCAAAAAAGTGTCATTGATAATGATTTCATAGTTGAACAAGTAAAATTTACTTGACCAAAGGCATTCAATCATTTATATTAAGAGAAACCTTTAAGCCACCATGTTGCCATAGGATTATCCTCCTCTTGAAGATGATGTAATGATTACACCAAAACTTGACTTAAACAAACTTAAGCAAAAGTTTGTCTGCCATATTTACAGTTTTAAGCATTGATTGTAATGTAGTAATGTCAAGAAATTTCACTGCTCACAGTCTGTTACAACGAATTTGGGGCTAGCCGTCCATTCACATGGTGGGGTTCAGTCCCCTCCCGTCAACATATACATTGTATTGTTCGCACGTAAAAGCTTCTTTATATTACGTAGTTTGGTGTTGTTTGTCTTTAAGCTGCGTCTCGCATTATTTCATGATCCAAACTGTCAGGTGTGTTTTATGTTTTCATTTCACCGCGTTTATATCGTTTATTATTTTGTTCATGCCATTTATTTTCAGTAGTTAGACTTAGTGTAATTTAATTTTGTTATAGAAACCACTGGTATATGGTTCGGATAGCCATTGAGCGATGTTACCGGTGCGTACGTTACACAGTCTTTCAGTTCTGACTGCCCTTGAGAGGACATAACATGTCTCACTAGATAGAAAACTCTACATAATTGTAATTTGTAACCCAAAAGTAACTAAATACAGTATTAAGGAATGGCATGCCTGAATTTCCCTTTATGGCCACTAATTCAAAAATTATGTTATAAATTCTCCTTAAAATGTTACCTGGAATATTATGAACTGTAATTGCTACGATCAGTAATAAAATTCTCCTCCAGCTGGCTTTTTTCTCTTGTGATATCTGTACTTCGTGATCAATGTCTCTGTTACTGGAACTGTGTAAATATTCCTTCTTTCTTTGTGTAAGCTGTGATATATCTCTGTTGTGTGACAAGTTATGGATGGAGATTTCTGTGTGATGGATGTCATCCTTTGAATCTTTCTCTTTGCAAGCACTACCATTCTGAAAATCCCCAGTTAGGGCCTCAGCAAAATTAGATGATTCCATACCCTTAGAAAAGAAAATTACAAATTACAAATTAAAAATTAATGCAAACTGGAGAATGATGCTTACACAGAATAGCGTTCACCTTTAAATCAGTGAAATATAATTATGTATTAATTTAGAGTGAAATAATTACCAGAAGTGGCATAAGCTTGTCTGCCCCATAAACAAACACTGCCCCTACAATGAACCCTATAGACACTGGAACAAAGGCAAACTTTCCACCTTCTCCATAACTTCCTGAAGTTTCTGCCATTTCTATGGCTGGGGCTAACAAGGACCAATAGGAGGCTGCCAGCATGACCTGCGATAAAACAATCAAAGATATTAGAGACATTATGCACAAAATACATAAACATAAAATGGCCAAAAATGAAGATTGCAGTGAAACTCAGAAGCATTGAACACCTGACATTTTCTGTACAATATACCTGTGTCAAGGAAAACAAGCCAATCAGGTGTAAGATATCTTAACTATAGATGGTAAGGCAAATTAGTTTGTGGTTTTGTGGTTTGCTTACATGTCCTGATCCCTCATGTGATTGGTTGCAACATAATAAAAACTCCAAACACATATCATGTATTCATGGTTTCTTAGTTAAACAGTAAAAGTAATCTTTTACAATTAGCTGCCACATTTTGTTTGCAGACCATGCTAACTTGATGTACTGTGTATTTTACCAGGTCCAAAAGACAAATGACACTCAATCTTGCTAGTACTCTTTTTCAAATGAGTACAGAAGAGTAACTTCTGCTCAGGCCTACCAGTCTTAATGGTATCCAATACTCAGAGGACAAAATGGGATTTCATTCCTGTAATAAAAGTTCTTCAAATCTACTTACCTTGCCAAAATTATAATACTGCATTCCCTTGAATAAGTGCCCTCCCTGAATAAGTACCCACATACCCCCCCTGGGGCCAATATAACAGACAAGCCCTCCTCTCCCCTACTTCCACTCTTTCATAAATAAGGATACAAGGATGACCAGTTTCTATTACCACTTCATTTTCAGTTTTTAAGCTTCAACTAAAGCTGAATTTGACTGACTTAAGCCTTTTGGTCCCCTGAGGAACAGCTGACGAAAAGCTGAATCAGTACAGGTTAATAGTTTCTTAAAAAGCACCCCCTTCCTAAGTGTGTCCTTTCAGCCAAAAAAATTAATAGGCGCCCTGGCGCTTATTCAAAGAAATATGGTATTTGGGCTTCAATTTAACAAAAGATATTAAATTAAATAAATCACACCAATTATTGTCTAACAAGTGATATTGAAATGCATGACCCAACACATATTACCATTATAAAAGAAACATACCATTTGCCTCGTAACAAAAATATTATGGACTTAAAAGAAAATAAATCCAATATCGGGAGAATATAACAGGGCTAAGAATTTTTTAAATTTAAAAACAGGGAGATCTGTTTATGTTTACTACTGTATATCGCATCGTATAGATAAACACGCTAATTAAAACGATAAAAGATCGTAATTTCATAATATCTATCTCACCCCAGCGGCAAATCCCAGGCTAGCATCGAGAACCTTTCTCTAAAATAATGAAAAGAAAATTATCATTAAGCACGCGGCTGATGTGAAATGATGCGAATAGATCAGCTGAAAGTTACAGCTTCGATCCATGTTGGAGGAAGGGTAAACATTATCCAACCTGTCCGCTGTTAAAAACGAAGACAAGAGCAGATCCAAGAGCTGTGACACCCCATGTAAATAACGTCCCTAAAAGAGCATGAACAACAGGATTGGAGTCTAGGATCATTTGAAACGACTTCGCCGTCCAAAATGAGGATAATTCTACGAAAAGCCCGGCACCCTTGAAATTTCAATGGCAATCGGTCCGCGGCTGTTATTAAGAAACAAACCACACTCGATGTATGCTAATTTTGAAGGTCCACGTGTCAGATCAGAAAAGGTAATCGCATGGGGCCGAGTAAAATTAAGGATTAATATCACGCGTGTTTTCGGAAGTTGCTGAAATTGCCCAAGTCGCGCAGCGACGAGGGAAATTTCTGCAACTTCCAAAAACACAAGTGATATTAATCCTTAATTTTACGAGGAACCATGTGATTACTTGTTTATAATATAAGGGGCAAAATGTTTTCTTACTGATCTCGCGCAAAACGGGACGCCATTGTTACAAAACAAACAGAAATTTCTTTACATTGGCAGCCGTTGCTAAGCGATTTTCAGCCAATCATTTTCAAGTAATTTTGCCTGGGGCAATTGCAAAAATTAAGAAAAAATGCGCCTCTGTCTTGACCAACTGACAACTCAGTAATTTTGCCCCTTATATGATAAAGACTTGCTAAAAGAATGACGCAGGGGCCATTAAAATAATAGTTTAAACCTCTATGTTGGTTGTCACTGTATGATTGTTAAACCTGACTGAAACCAACTCAATGAAAGGAGGTAAAATGTTTAATCCCTTTTTAAATGTTTTAAATATAAAAAGAATTCCCGCTTCTGTGTGTACCGCACTGGTGGTTCAGTGGTAGAATTCTCGCCTGCCACGCGGGAGGCCCGGGTTCGATTCCCGGCCAGTGCAGTTCTTTTTCTTTACCCTTAACATTTTTTTTTTATTAAAAGCAGGGAGTGCAATGTCGAATTTGATGTAGCTAAACTTCATCAAAGAAATTGAATTAAAAAAAGAAACAGACAAAACAAATCAAGCCGACAAACTGCTTGGAATAAGTCACTTCATGTGTGCAATTCATCCATCACTTGACAGAATATCCTTTTCCTTCTCCTCCTCTTCCTCCTCTTCCTCCTCCTCTTTCCTCCTCCTCTTCCTCCTCTTCCTCCTCCTCCTCTTCCTTCTCCTCCTCCTCATCATCATCATCTTCATCTTCATCTTCAAACCCAACAAACTATTCACTTTTTAAATACAGATTATTCTCCTTTAGTATCTGTTACACAAAATTATCTGTCTTGCATGATGCATCATCACCATCACCATATTCAGCGTTTTCACTGAGGCATAGTTTGTCTAACCAGTTATGAGGTTGCCATACCAAGATAACAGGACAGGTGCATTTTGATCAAACAGTACAATGGCCCAACAGAAACTCAAAAGTAAAACAAAAAACCTGCCAAAGTGCTGGAAAATGCAAGAGACCAGTCATGCTAATTTTTTTTTCTGAATCAGGACAATTATTGGCTTGATAGATATCATCTTGGATTACTACCCATGGTACCAATTATTGTTACGTTTTCAAGACAAAAACTTTGTGCTTTAAACACTCAATTCAATTGTTTTTCCTTCAGCAAGTTCAAAAAAAATATCGAGGAATCAAATAAAATAAAAAATTATTTGTTTCTGTAGAAGTAATCTCTTCTCAAAGGATTAAGTCAGGTCAAACTGAGTTTTTGGTTACAAACTATTCTCAACAACATAGCACAGGTTGGCAAAAAAAAAGACAAAGTATTTACAATAACAGTGAATTTATTCTGCCAAATTCATGGCTGGTGATTTAAAGTAATCTGATATTATCTCTCTTAAAATCTTGGATTCAATATATTAAGAAAACAGAATCTTATGATTTAGATCTTGATGTGAAGAAAACTGTAAACAAATGATGAAAACGTGCTTGTTTGGTTGACAAAAAAAAAACTTGCTATGATGGTTATTTATGTGTCATCAACCTCACTGAGTATTTTTACCAGTTGTGCCATATTTTGATGAGCCCTTAGGGTGAGTACAAATACAAACAACAACTAAAAATACTCAGTGATACTACACAACAAAACGTCTAATAAGAGATTTATTATCAACACACCAAATTGTTATTTCTATCAGTGTGGGCAAATTTCGCAGATATTTCTGGAGTACAAGTATCATGTGATATTTGTACTTGTCTTGCACGTTATTTGTACTCTATGAAGCACACAGTTGGATAATAAATGTTGATAGTAGCAACAATGTAAATACACAACTTACTTAAATAGCTAAGCAGCTTTCAAAATAAAGTATTTTTCATTACTATCATATCATAACTAATAAAAGTAAACAATATTTTATCAAAAACTCTAGGCCATAGTTTAAGACAACTTCTTCTTGGCCTCTTTGTCACTAGTATGCTTTTTAGGAATAAAAAGAGGAATAACAATGAATGCTGCCATCACAATGTGTCCAACAAAGTACATGCTCTGCCATGCTTCCAGGCAAGGAGTTAACTGAAGCAACATAAATCCACAGCCAAGATACTCCATGGAACGATAATGAAAAAACCAACTGAGCCAGTCATACCAGTAACAAAGCTCTGGTGACAAGTATGGCTTGATAGCATTTGACATTTGAACTTCAGCAATAACTGTCAGTGGAACACCCAGAAAGGTCAGGTAATAACCCGGGGCCACACCATGCCAGAAGGCACTGACGAGAAGCGTCACGAACATTCTGAAATAAAGCATATGAATATTATAGGCATTGGTTACATTGTGCATTCTTGCATCTAGAGCAAAGGCTTCTTTAAAAGGGACGGGGACCTGTTAAAGAGAGTTGGGAGGGGGGGGGTTAGGTAGGGGATTACCAGTAGGTGTGGGGGGTATTAGAGAGGGTTCAAGGGCTTATAAAAGAGGGCAGGGCTTGACACTAACGGTAGCCCACTAGCCAAAACTGAATTTCAACTAGTCTGTGGCTAGTTGGCTACCATTAGTGTCGAGCCCTGATATCAATGAACTGCACGACTTGCATTACCTTAAGTTTTTGTTTTTAAAAGGAGTTTTCCTGTGTATATACGTTGCTATCCACCACTGAACAGTCATGTTCCAATTCTTCATTGTATTCCCCATAGATGGTGAAAACTCTACCTCAAAAATTTTTATGTTGTGGATTGTCTCAAAGCTGTAAAAAATGATGAGGAAAATAAAAATAATAGCATTTCTTAAACAACATATTTTAGAAAATAATTGATAAAAATGAACTACTCTGATGGAATTATTCTATCTTTATCAGAGAAGCCTTGTATATGGGTCAACATTTTTCACAACTTTATGTTTAAGAAGAACTCGCCACGATGAAGCTTTAAAACAGGAAAGTAGAAGATGGTGGGAATTTATTCCAAAACCAACTATCTCCAGAATTCAGAATTCTAGAGTTTAAGATCTCTAGATTGGAATGATTAAGACATCTCAAGCTTTAAGGTAACAGTACTGTATTTAATATACATGTACCTGTGTGTGTCTTGATTAGATTCTTTGTTTTGCTTAGAAGTGGTCTGATCAACAGTTCCATTTTCTTCTGGAAAAGCTTCACTTTCCTTTGGAATTTCTTTTGTAGGCCCTAGTCCAGGCTTAGGTTCAGTTTCAAATGGATAGGCCCCCAAACCAAGGGTCATACAGCAGCTTTCAGCTAAGAGCCAGCCTACGTAAAAACGCCAGCGAAACCCATGAAACGTCGGCACAAGATAGGCTAGTTGGTAGATCATACCCCAAGGATGGCTTGTGTATTCTGGAGTCCCAATATGACTGATTGGAAAGTATCGGTTTAATATAAGGTACATCACACCAAAGAAGGGTAGTGTCTGAAGATTTCTCATGGCCGGGATGATGGTGGAAATCTTCTCAGGATGCTGTTGATTAATCATGTCTTTGTAAGTCTTGTAGCGATAGTAAGGACCAGTGGTGAGTCCACAATAGCAGTAGGAGTAACTAAGGAACTCATAAAAGGATGGTTGCTTTGACTTTTTTGATTCTCCTTCCCCTGTTTCTTCTTCAGACTCAAATATTTCAAATGGTAGTGTACAACACTAGAAAGGGGGAAAAAATTCATGATCATAAATGCATGAACTACTTTAATTTCATGTTTAATAGCAGGTGATGCAGTTCTCTTGAAATTCGGTTACAGCTGGAAAAGAGGAAAGGTTACCTGTGACAACACCATTATTTTACGGTAAAACCCTGTCACCCAACTTTTTCTACACCTCACTAAGTTGATTATTATTGATTCAAAACATTGATTAATAATATAGAACTAAGGGCTGTGGTTTTTTTTTTTATCCGTTTTTTTGTTCAAAATTATCATGAGTTCATGTGTATATGTTAATGTCTATTTAAATGAAGTTTAAGTTGATAAAAAAACACAAACAAAAAACAAGGTCAAGCAAGCAATCCAGACCCCTCAGGGGACCCTTATCATGCCTGCTCTGATGGTAAATCTCAAAATAATGTAAATTGCTTCACCTTTAGCCCATACAGAGTTTGCCATACAATCAATATATCTTACACTACAAACTCACCCTCAAGGTAACTAACAGCTGAATAGCATTGCTGTGTTCTGGGGGCTTTTCAAATCCAAAATACTTGCATGTGCGGAAGAAAAAAAGATATCCAAACACAAATATGAATGCCACCCACTCACACCGCCTGCAAAATAACATAGTCAAATAATATTTCACCTCTTAATACATCCAGAATGTTTCACAAATATTGGGTTGTTTACCTACATATCAAATAGGTAGGCATGTATTATATGGGTAATTGATTCCAATCAACAAATTTACTACACAATTGTCATTTCCATTAACGAGTGATCATGTTCACTTAAAGTGCACCTAAACCCCAAAATTTTTTTTCGCTTAACGAAATAAGCTTATTTTTTGGAGTATTTCTGTGCAAATTTTTTTTAATTTGCTCAAATCTTTAATTTTCTGTGCCCAGTCAAAATACAGAAAATCGGCCGCCATCTTGCCTCATGACCGAGTTCAAAGAGGAATGGCTCTAGCGGGTCATGCGACGTCAAATCGAGAACACAAAAGTCTGCATTTCACACATTTTCACTTGCTTGGGAAGGTTGTCATCGATATTGTCCGAAATATACCCACTAGGTGTGTTGTATGAGGAATGTATGAAGCGCGATACCCTCTTCCAAATTTCGCACGTTGCTACATCCTTCTACAACACACTTAGTTGGCATATTTTCGGACAATATCGACTACAACCTTCCCAAACAAGTGAAAATGTGTGAAATGTAGACTTTCGTGTTCTCGATTTGACGTCACATTACCCGCTAGAGCCATTCCTCTTTAAACTCGGTGCTGGGGCAAGATGGCGGCCGATTTTCCGTATTTTGACTGGGCACAGAAAGTTGAAGATTTGAGCAAATAAAAAAATTTTTGCACAGAAATACTCCAAAAAATACGCTTATTTCGTTTAGCGACAAAAAAAATTGGGTTTAGGTGCACTTTAACATTTCGGCTCATCCTCATCGTAAAAACCTGTGAAGCTCACGAGTGACGTAAAACAAAGACAACAAAACATTATAAACAATAGAGTACAACAAAACAATACCTCATGAAACCGAGAAAACCTTGTCAGGTTTTTACACCGAGGATGACCCAACATTTCCAACAGGTTGAGGGGTAGTAAGCATGTGAAACATACCATTATCAACGCCTTAAAGCCTCACTGATGTTGAACCAATTAGATGATTTGATACAAACTATCAAGAACAGTGTGGGTACGATGGGACACGATGCATGCTTACGAAAGTTGATTTCTTAACGATGGTGACTTCATTCGACACATGTTTAGGAATAGAAATCTTACCTTCGACCAAGAGAGATTACTATCACATACGTGCCTAAAATTGTCCAAAAGGAGTGTAGAATTCCCCAGACTCCGACAAGCGCGAGAGACAAGCAGACACCGGCAACAGTGGAAAGGAATTGCTTTCGTGCTGGAGAACCTGATAATTTGACCAAATGACCGAATGGTATAGATCCTAACAGCATACACAGATAAAGTAAGTCAGTAGTGGACATGATGTGCCCCCACACGCGGTTTATATTATTAGACCGAAAAATCAATTTTCCAGGCGAGATATTCCATTGTTAGTGATATTCGCGACAATGGCATGTAAGACACTCATGCAGACCATATGGTGAAGAGTAGAGCCTGGGAACAAATTATCGGAAATTTTCTTAGGTCCGTAAAGCGTGCAGATTATTTTGCATAATGTCAAGCTTCCATGTAAGATAGCTTAAGATTGGCTGCAAACAATTAACAAACAAACAAATGAAGGAAAAAAATCAGAGAAATTATGGTATTTATCGACTTACCTGGCATTCACACCGATCTTCTGACGCATGTGCACCAACGTTTTACCTTAATTAGGCTAAGTCCTTGGTACAATGAGGTGATCAGATCAACGTTGTACAGTTTTTGTTGAAAGTTTACGTAGCCTTACAATTGAAATCTTACTTAGTAGAACTTACTAAGTCATTTTTTCTCAATAAACGAAGTTTCATGGAGAAGCTTCAACACCCCCTCTCTTTTTCCTGATTATACTCTCCCCTTCCCAGCTTATGAAAACTCATTGAACTCTAGGTGCATGTTTTGGAAGATATTTGACTTTTCTGTTTGACAACTTTTTCCTAAAAAGAAAGATTCCTTTAAGTCGCTTTCGAATTATGGAGACAAATATCGATGTGATAGTTCTGTCACATGCGTCGAGACAAAACAAACCTATAGGTGATTTAATAATTGCCTTTTATCAAAGGCTTCCATTTTTTTTTTGTTTTGGCAGCTTGGTAGCAGTCGTCTGTAAAATGCAAACTCTCCTTAGTTATTCATGTATGACGGTCAATTCAGTGCAACGCGTGAGTTTTTATTACCCACGTAGTTGATAGCTAATCGTGCATGGCGCAAATTATTTAGATTAGGAAGCAGACTGAGATAAAAGCCAGAATTCCCTATGTAAAATACATCTTCTCTCAATTTCTTGCCTGAGTTGACTTTTCATTCAAAGTGGTCATTTTCAGCTGTCTGCGTTAATTTTTAATATATTCATTTGCCGGTTTATCCTTCTGTTCTGCATATTCTTATTTACTAATAATACCTGTGTTATCATCGCCTTGATGCACGATCAACCGAGTAACACCATATCTTTCCGGTCGTACAAAACCAAATAATTCTCCATCCGATACGTGCTTCTCTGAATTGGCAAACGACTTCCAAAACTGGAGATGCTTTCAGTTTTAAACTTTGTCAAATTATTGTTTTAATTTGTAATTTATACCGACGAGTTACTGAAAATCTAGAGAAAGCGGATCTGAAACTGGTGTTCATATATCTGAGCTGAAATAAGCGATATCTCGACAACAAGTAAGTCTAGTAATCAGGTTTTTGATGAAGAATTTCGTTCAGTACGTTCTAAATGCATAAATGTTTCGATTTTGACCTTTTGCAGATGATAAAAACTTTGCATTTGCCGAGGTACATATTTTTATGATTCATTGAACAGTTCAATTGCATCATCAATATAGTTTGTTGGTTAGGATAATATTTTTAGGCCGCTAGATGAAGATCACTTAAGATTCATATCTATGTTTCACGCCGACAAATTTACAGAGGAAAATGATCCTTTCCCAAATAGTATGAATATAAATACATGTCCATAAAATGGAGTTCTGTTTCGTTTTCTCACCATTCAAAATTCATATCTTGAAATTTGGGTTAGATTCGTCCAGGGAATCAAAGGCTGTATTTCTAGTGTTTAAACCGCTGATACAAGCTAGTCAGATAAATCCGAAGCCTAGCTTTCATGTTTTAAAAGATCAAAGAATCTCACCACTTTAGCTGTTTCTATTGAGTACGCAACTGTTTCCATAGAAGAAAGATATCCTAACACGTAAGTTAGCACGATTATGATTCGGGCTCTTATTTACACTGACGTAGATCTGCTAGTCAAAAGCTAATTCTTTGTGCCCTGTTTATTTATAAAGATCATCTAATATGGTCTTCTGAGTCAACAAGCGAAAACGTCGTTAGCATAATAGATCACTCTTCTCTGGTAAGTTTACGAAAGAAAACATGTATGATTTCTCAACAATTCTTGAATCAGTGAAAATTTTGATAAAGGAACATGTTCATTTTTCGATTTGCACGTCATATAGGCGACCAATGTTTTCCCTTTACACAAAGTTTATTTTTGCCAGTTAAAATATATCTTAAGGTTCGCTGTGTTTTCGATAGTCACTACCTCAGTTGGTAAAGGACAGCAAATAGGTATGATGGAAATAACTTTTTCCGCGTCTTTAATCAAACAGTTGACGTCACTCAGGGCGAACTGTTTTCTTGTCTTCGTCCTGACAAGTTTCAAGCTCGATTATGCAAATTCACATCCTATATAAGTTTTTATAACAGGTGGACAAAGCAAGTGAAGTCTTTCTTCTAGGTCTCTTTCTGCCTCATTTACCAGAGCGCAAAGTTAACTACTAAAAATATCACTTGCGGAAGAATTGGCAGTTCTCGTTACGAGCTGACTTACTGCCTCGAGCAAAAGTAGGGAAAAGTACATCCTTGAAAAGCGTGAAGAAAGATCGACTCTGTAGTTTTGAAAAAATGTGGCTCATTTGAACATAAAACATTAAAACAGATCGCCTACATCGCTTGCTAGAGAGTTCTCGTCTGATAAAAAACGCCAAATAATGGAGATCAAAATTAACCGAATGACCTCAGAACAGCGGCGGACTTTAAGTAAAGCGCTTTGTTTTGCTTTTTTTTTTTTTTTTCATAGCAAAGAAGAACCCGATTCTAGCATGGAACAGGTTTATCAATTTATGAAATCGTGAACCAGTTGAGAAAGAGCCCCACCTATCTAATGCAATAGGAGGGGATTTCGCAATTCTATTTTCATTGATAGATCAGGTGGTATCATCGCGTTTTTACAGCAGATACATCTGTAGCCTTCGAGACCAGAAACAGCAATATTTAATAGTCTGTCAGTGTTTTTACTGCCATTTTGAACCTGCTGTCCGTATAAAAAGAGGATTAAGAAAAAAATCAGCCTGCCAGTTACGGGCAGTGCGTTTAAATGCCAAAGGTTCAGCCACCCAGAAAACCAATCTGCAGGTGTTCTCTGTTGCTACGAACCATCCTACGTGCTCAATTATACTGATGTTGGTGGCTTTTCTTTCCTCACTGAACGCAAACAGTTCGTAGGTCCCCAAAAAGGGTTTCCTCCTGTCTTCTGGTCTTTCTGATTGAAATGCAGGTCATAGGGAGCTTCAAACGTGTACAGAGCATATGCTTATACCCGATATCTAGTAAAACATTTTATCGTTCAACTAGACTTATTCTTAGCGGTGAAGATTATAAAACTTTCAACAGTCGAAATTATTATGACTACAGGATCGTGAAAATTTTTTACTGAGGTTCATTGGAAAAATCGTTAGAAACATTTTTGGACGCAATGAAAATACTTAGCTTCCAAATGATATGAAAATACCGTAGATTAATTTCAAATATTTACTTAATTTATTGCTTATTTATCTCCCCATCGATCACGCGCGCTGATAGGAGCATTTTTGGTTTATATTGAGTAGTAAAATATGGCCTAATTCATAAAGGTGTGCATCTCTTTAAAAAAAGAAATTAATTTTGTAATGTTGGCCAATTTTCACGGACATTACGACTCCCGAATGACTTTTTTTTGGACATCAGAACTCGCAAACTGTTAAATTTGTTCCTTGTGTGATAAAGATCAAAATAGTCTCGATCATTTAACCTTCTTTCAGTCCCAGTCTTCCCCTGGTGAACTAAATATATCACTTAGAGATTACTCTGTAGAAACACTGTTTTATCTGTATGGTAATCTTTCTCATCTGTAATGACTATAAAGTGCCTCATATGCGACAGGGTTATCACGCAATGATAATCAGATTTTGAAATTTTATGTCGGAGAAACTAATGATCTTCGTACATATTGATCATAAAAAAATAGTCGTAGCGAGGGTCTTTTTTTCTGTTATACTCCATGCTAATATCAATTGCAGTTTCCTGCCGGCTCCATACCGATGTGTTTGCTTATGCATTATTTTTGAATTACTGATAAATTCTTCAGTGCTGACCGTAGAAAACTAGAAAACTTGAACCTGAAATAATTTTTTTTAATTTTCCACTGAAAAACCACAAATGTCAGCTTCTAACGGGCAGAGCTCCCTGCGGTTAGCTATGAAGACAAGACTTAAATTAATTTCCATAAGTTTATGTGAACTTTTATTCAGGTTGGATAGTCTTATTTTGAAAAACTGCGAATTAAATTTTTCAACAACTCTCTCTAAAAAAAAATTAAATGAACACAGGCCAATCTAGCAGAGGCATTTTGTCGAATTCAGTCCCTTAAGCGAGGGAAATAAGGTTTTAAATGCGCCTTAGGAAATATCATAGACAGGTGTTGTCTTTGTTAAACACCAAACTTACTTAAATGTCCATTAAAATTCAGGCTAACTAGCAAACAGGTCTCGTATTTGTGTGAATGGGTAGAGTTTTATAAAAGTGCAGCCGGCTTCACGGAGCGATATTTTATTACGCTTGCAATTTGTAATCGTTTTTCACTTTGGATTGTGGCTTTGCACTCAGATGTCCAATCCAAGGAAGTCAACCGCTTTTGTGTTTTGGTAGGTTGCTAAGACAAATGTATTTCTTACACGTCGAAAATTGAAATATTACATATGACGCACATTGTATTCACACCGGATGAGTGAAGCCACTTCTGTCGCTTGGATCAACACATTCATGGAAAATCACTTGGAGATTCGCAGATGTGATCGTATCGTGGTCATCGCAGGCGAACTGCCTGCTTAAGCAGATATGACCGGGTTACAACATCAAGGAGCGATCACCATGTGTTATAAATAAGCCCATCAATGGAAGAAAACAGGGAAAGAATCACCGACCACACCGACCACAGCGCTGAATTTGAAACTCTTTCTTGCTTTTTGATCTCCAAAGACAATAAAGCCAGGCGATGGATGATTCAGCTGATAAAATGGCCATATCCTTTTTATAAATTTGAGCACTGAAGTCATAGGAAGTATCATTGACAGGTTCATGGGTTTGACCGAAGCGTGCGCTTACCGCGTCAAATTTACATTTGTTGCTAATTTAGATTTGGCAGATACATAGCGCTAAAACGTAAGTCAAAATTAAAAAAAGCTTCATGATACCAAAGTTTATCGATATCAACAACCACCTTCGGTCGATAAGCTTCGCTATCAAGAACATCATTCAGTTCACTCTGATCTAATAAAATTCGAGGACAAAAACATACTTCATGAGATTAAAGACGGAACTTTACGATTTCAGTGTTGCTCTCGTTGGAAGAAAAAGAAAATTAATATTTCGAATTATTCCTTTTGACAAACATGTTCTTATAAACAAGAAAGTTAAACTTTGTATTTCCTTCGAAGAAAGTTTCGGTAGAAACGAGTGTTTTGAAACCTAAAACCCACTATGTGTATATATATGTGTGAGGGTAGAGCCTACCTTGGCATAAAGTGCTCAATGCTGCGTTAGCAGAGCTGGGTATACATTAGTTGAAGAATCAAAGAGGACTCATCGATTCTCTGTTACTCTGAGTTTCGCACGTATGTATATATATATACATATACATATATATATATATATATATATATATATATAGTCGTTAATGGAACTCTCAGGACAACAAAGGTACACCGCGGAGGATCAATAAAGATTTGCAGTCCAAACCTTATAGCCAACACGAATGTAGAAAGTTTAAAAAATTGCGAGGATGGACAACTTCTGACCAAAAAAGTATAAAAAATCTTTAATAAAAAACGTATTTATATGTATATATACGTGCCAAAGAATTAAAGAAACAGTACATTTTATTTTTTGAATCATTTCCAATAATTCGCTTTTTTTAGTGGTGTAAAATGGTCGCAATTGTCAAACTTAGCGAAGGAAATATTTTATTTTTAAAAACTTGATATAGCAAGATGAAATAGAGTTTCTGACTCTTCTTTATCAAAAAATTATCGTACCTTTAATCGGCTCTATTTCAAATCGTTGATGGTAAAATAGGTCGTCGTAAGCCGAGAACCAAAACAAGGTTAGGACACCTTAAAAATTCAAAAAGGGTTAATTTTTTTAAAACGTCATATCTTGACGAAGTCATGTGGCCAGTGCAATTTTACTTAGCTTCACGATGCAGATTTCGAAAGTATACCGAAACCATTTTGTTTACTTTCCTCTTAAGTGAAATACGCATCACAGGTGAATATATATGCTTTGGCTTTGAAAATTGCTCCGACGCGCTATATAGCTGTTTTGTCACCAAGAAGCTGTTTCGACTGTATTTCAATTTCGGTCATTTTACTTTATGTCGAAATAGGAACAGTTTTTACCTGAAGTCCATGCTTATAAAGAACTGACTTTGTTTTTCTCTTGACTTTTAATAATTATAAGCTGATAGTATTTTGTCATCTTGGCGCAACTAATGAATCATACAGCTGAAATAGGATGTGTACACTTACATACGAGATCTTGTCGAAAAAAACCTAGTTCAGCAATGTTGCAAGGGAGAATAGACTTAAAATTTTCATTGATGTTATTAAAAGTGGTTCATTATTTTAATTTCAATTTTCGTGCAAACGGTCAAACCTCGTATAATAAATTCATTTCTGAGTTGAAAAATACACAAATCTAATATGTTTCCATGGAAACAACAGGTATTTTGGTTATGCGTGACAGCTTCGCGATAAAGATCTTTTAAAAATTTTCCAACAGGAACGCACAAAAATGAATTCTTGAGACTTTTCCTTAATTTTGTTCCACATGGTTCGAACGTATAAGCATGTCGGTTATACTCATCAATTGTCTGACATTAGCGATGTATAATCCGCTGGATAAGGACTGCAAATCTACCCGGTGCCAAGTTCTGGAAAATGTGGAAATTATCGTCTTTGCTTTCTTTTCGGCTGAGATGATAATAAAGATGATAGCGATGGGTGTTACTGGCAAGAAAGGTTATTTACAAGACAAATGGAATCGCTTGGACTGCTTCATTGTCATCATTGGGTAAGGGCATGTTAGCTAGAGTAAGAAAAAGGCTTGATCACATGGCATATGTATGGGAGACACAGTGGCCTTATTGTTAGCGCCCAGGAAGCGTTGTGGCTAAGTGAGCCTCTTGGCTCTAGTACAGAGTACACTCTCAACGCAAATTATATCTCGTAAGTTTATCATGATCACGTTCTTTGCGTTTGTATTTTTTCGAGAACGTGTTTTTCGTGAATGTGTTTCGTGTACGTTTCCATTCTTTTAGATTTAATAACCTCTGTTATCAAACTTTAATCATAATTATCTATGCTGTACTTTTCTTTAGGGTGATCGAGAAAGCCGTCGTCCGAGTCAATGGGAATTATCTCACTATTATTCGGGCCTTTAGAGTTCTGAGACCTCTTCGAGCTATCAACAAAGTCCCAAGTATGTAAAACATATTTAAGTCTACGAAATTTGCTTTAAATCTGTATACAAATACAAAAATTGATGAATAAACGATCTTTTTTAAATGGTTTATCAATTTGAAGGTATAAGTATATTTATTAACCTTTTAAGGAAAATTTTATTGAGTGGACGAGGCTCAGTGAGCCTCGAGAACGTTTTCTCAAAGTGTCTCACAATAGCGTAGCTCCACTTTCTGCGTATAAACAACACACAAACCATAATTTTTCCATTCGCCCTGACGAAGGGCTAACGCTCGAAACGTCAACTTTGAAACTCTTTACGGTAGCAATTTACATTATCCCTTGACTCAGTTGATAAAACCCAACCTCGTTCCCAGGGCCCCAACCAAGGAAAAGGGCCCTGGGAACGAGGTTGGATAAAACCCAAATGACCTTGTTACTCCCACTGACGTTACTTACTCTCTTTATAAACATACACGGGCAACTTTAAAAGTATTTTCTATTTTGCAGGTATCCGTATCTTGGTGACTCTCCTTCTCGATACCCTTCCAATGCTGGGGAATGTTCTCCTCTTGTCTTTTCTGATATTTTTTGTGTTCGGGATTATCGGAGTGCAGTTATGGCAGGGAAAACTGAGAAACAGATGCTTCACTGAGTTTCCTGAGAATTCAACCTTTCTCACCAGGTGAGCTGCTCCGTTCCTATCATAGCCTGGGACGTTAGTCTCTTTTCGGATCCGTTAGAAAAAATACAATTTGACGAGTTTAGCGTCACATATGTAGCACTGCCATATAGGCTTTCAGATTGGAAATATATACATTTTGGCAGTAAAAGCAACACCCACAGGGTACTCATGCTAATACGATTCGCTGGTCAGTTTGCGGTCGGGATACTAAAAAATCAAAAGCCATCTTCATGCATAGCCTCTAACAACTTATTGCAATTGTGATCCTTTCAGATATAACAAGTCGCAATTTTACCAACCATCGTTCAGCAATCCAGATTTCGTCTGCTCCCTTTCAAAAGATTACGGAACGCGTCTGTGTTCTGATATCGAACCAAAAGAAGAAAATGTGTCCACAAAATGCCCTGATTCGTCTGGAAACGTCTCCGCTGAGATAAAGCGAGTCACTTTCAACTGGAGTCAGTATTACAACAAATGTAAAACAAGTGATCAAAACCCATTCTATAACACAACATCGTTTGATAATATCGGTATTGCATGGATCGCCATATTTCAGGTAAGGAAGGTTAACCAAAATACATAGATTCAAATGTAGTAATTTTTCAAAGAGAATAACCTTATTCAAATCGAAAGGCTCACGTCGCGCTAAAAACTGATCGAAATCGTTGACTCAACCCTGAATTATAAGGGTGGCCAATAGTGCATAGGCAAACCATCTATTTTGAGCAGCCAATAAATTCAAAACAATCGATGAAACCGTCCTAAAGTGTGGGATAGGGTGAACGACCAAGGTGTGATTGTTCCCTGTTTTGTATCTGCTTAGTGTACATGTAGTTTCTTTTTGCTCTATACTCGCCGAGGTCGAATGCATCACTTAAGATGTACAACTTGATTCGATGTCAACAGGTGATCACTTTGGAGGGATGGTCAGATATCATGTATTTTGTCCAAGATGCTCACAGCTTTTGGAACTGGATCTATTTTGTTGTCCTCATAGTGGTAAGAGAAATATTCCTACGAATGTCTGCTTTTCTCTACCTTGTCTCCCCTCCCCTCCCCTCCTCCTCCTCTCTCTCTCTCCCTGCCTCCCTCCTTCCTCCTCGTCTTTTCCTTTTATGTCTGCCTTTCCCTCTCAACCTCCGATATACCACCAGATTTATTTCAGCAATGGAACACATTTTTCCGGGCTCCATAACGCGAGAAAGCCACGCGGGGTGTTGGGAGAACACGAAGAAAACTTAGAAATCACCCGCCGAAGGTTTTTTATTTATAAGCTTTTTGAGTGGGCTGGAAACTAAATTGACCAATCAGACGGAGCGTACCATGTTCATTTACGTTATAATAAGTGATGAAGCAGAAGAAAGGTCTAGTCTGTGAAACTAGCCAGTTAATGTAGTTGTACTATTCTCCTCACTTACAGATGGGCTCTTTCTTTCTTGTTAACTTGTGCCTGGTCGTAATCACCATGCAGTTCCAAGAAACCAAAGCTCGTGAGATAGAACTGATGGAAAACAGCAAAGGCGAACAATCGCTTGAGTCACCAAAACTGCTAAAAACCTTAATGAAGTATTTACAACATTTTTGCAATTGCAAACCGCAGGAAAAAGAACACGTGCATCATCATCATCATCACTTTTATCATCATCATCATTTTCACCATCATTTGTATAATTGCTTTGTTCCCCCCTCTCCAGTTATTGGAACTGATCACGAGGCCGCAGCAGGTGATCCCAGCTTTTTCCCTGATACGACCAATTTTCCAAAAATTCAGGTCGAGGCTGAAGAAACGACCTGTTCCCACTCCTGTGTTGAAGAATCTCCGATTTTGCAAGATTTTCTAGCACCACCTTTCACTAGACAATCTTCTAGAAGAAGTTCCAGAACCTCTATCTGTTCGCATGCTCTTTCAATCCACGCTGAAACGTCTTCAGCAGTTTCCATCGAAGAAATTGTTACACAAGCGAAGACAAGCGTAACGTTAAATATCCCTTCATCACCAGTGGCAACTTTCTTCGCGTTCTCGTCAGACAACAATGCAAGCAGGAAAAACTCAACTCAGTCTAGGAAAAGGGAATTTTCCGCGTCCACGTTGACATCAGCAGAAATTAATCCACATCATGCACGCACAAGTACGTCGCAGAGTGAAGACGTTTTTTCAAAGACAAGTAAAGAAGCCACGGAGTCTTCAATTCAGCGAAAAGATAAAGAGCCTTTGAAATATCGTCGATTCAGCCAGCCTGCACATGCTAAGTTAGCTCGCACCCCGGCATCTGAGATTTCTTTCCAACCTTCTAAAAGTTTGGAGACCAAAGAAGCTGATGATTACAGAGATGTTGAAGCAAACCCGGAAATGGTAAACTTCGATGTTATATCTTCGTTAGAAAGTGACTTAGAGAAAAGCGATGCGACCCAGGACCCACCATCAAATGATTTAGTCTCGACCAGTCAGGCCAATGATTGCCAAATCGATGATACAGTGAATACAACGCTAAAAAGACCCTCATTAAAACGCCGAGATATTCCCGCTCAGAGTGAAGATGACATGTTCGAAAGCCTGTTGAACTTAAGACAAAGTGCGACTTATGATGTCACAGGGAATCACAGCGCATGGCGGAAGTTAAGAATCATCTGCAGAAAGACAATCGAGAGCAAACAGTTTACTATTTCCATCATGGGCGCCATCTTGTTGAACATGATTTGTATGGGTCTGGAGCATTACGAACAGGTGAGAGGGAAGAAGTCAAAATCTGTTCGAATAGAAAGTTAACAGTAGTTATTCCTCATATGCATAGCTCGTTTATCACTGACATTGCTCCAGTGAAACTCACATTAATTTTTCTCTCGTTTTATCCTTCAGCCTGATAGACTAACTGTTGCCCTTGAGAACATAAACATCATTTTTGTTTCCATTTTTGGTATTGAAATGGTTATTAAGTTGCTTGGTTATGGTGTGACCTCATATCTAAGCGAGGGTCAAAACGTGTTTGATGGACTCATCGTTACTGTCAGGTATGTGAATTTATATAAAAATAAGAGAAAGTTTTATCTTTTTAGTTAAACTTAGCCACCATCTCTTTATCTCATTAGGATGGAGGAAAATCTGGCTACAGAACTTTCTAATTCTTCCTTTTGCTTATAATTTTGCAGTGTATGTGAAATCCTACTCACCAAGGATGCGTCCCTTTCGATATTTCGTAGTATCCGGTTACTCCGGATCTTCAAACTGGTCAGACCGGTTCGATACCAGTTGCTAGTTGTTGTCAAAACTATGACGAGTGTGATGACGTTTTTCGGATTGCTGTTTCTGTTCATATTCGCGTTTGCTATCCTTGGGATGAACTTGTTTGGTGGAAAGTTCATATTTAAGAACGCCGAGGGAAAGCAAGTAACCTCCCGAAGTAATTTTGACGACTTTTTGTGGGCTATGGTGACAGTGTTTCAGGTGTGTTTGTATCTTTTTTTGGTGAAGGTATGAAAGTTTGACTCTGCCACCCTCACAAAGGTTCGATTTGTTGATAACGACATTCTACCCCCAAATGCCCTAGTAGCCCTTAGTGGAATGTAATTTTTTTTACATTTCAAACCGAAAGCAGTTTTTTGTAAGCTATGTTAAATATATTTACGTCATCAGCTTTTTAAGGTGAAGACAAACCATGGAAAGGTCATACAAAAAACTTGCATATGCAGGAAAAATATTTTGACCATTAGATGACCGCAAGGGTCATATACTGGAAGGCACGCTACATATATTCTTACATCATTCTGCTGATGATGATAATTGTGATAGCAGTGGAGTTGATGATGTTACAGCTTTACTTTTTGTTAAAGATAACGGTTGTTGTGTTCTGAAAGTCGTTGTTGCTATTTTTGTTGTTGTTTAATTTAATATAATAATAAGTTCTTATATAGCGCATTAAAATTGAACTCTAGGCGCTTTACAACTACAATTAACAAAATTTCAATTAAAAATCCTATACATGCAATTTTCGCTACTCTATCTAAACTAATGAATTATTACGTGTTATACATAAATTTGACAACGTACGATATCAAAAAATCTGATGGCTTAATTTTTGAAAAGATAAGTTTTCAATAAGCGAAAGGAGTCAACAGATTCGGCGTTTTTTATGCATTCAGGTAGTTGATTCCACAAATACGGTGCAGCGTAGGAGAATGCTCTTTGCGCATACGTTTTAGTTCGAATTGTTGGGACCTCAAGTAGATCCATGTTCGATGAACGGAGGTTTCGTGCTGGAAAATATCGACTAAGAAGTTCAACAAGATAGGTTGGAGCCATGTCATTTAGTGCTTTGTATGTTATCAACAGTATCTTGAATTGAGTTCGTTTTGTGACCGGGAGCCAATGAAGTTTCATAAGTATAGGTGTTATACTGTCTCTTGATTTAGCACCGACTAACAAGCGGGCAGCTGTGTTTTCGATCCGTTGGAATTTTTCGATGTCACAAATCGGTAGACCGTACAATAGGCTATTACAGTAATCAAGTCTCGATGAGGTGAAGGCGTGTATCAGTCTTTTATTTTGTTGCGTCGAGAGGTATTTACGAACGCGACCAATATTTCTGATTGCTAGAGACGACGATTTACAGATGGAATTTATATGCGAGCGTAAGTTCATCACAGAATCAAGCATGACGCCCAGGTCTCGGACAGTATTAGATAAATTAATGATATCATCTCCAATATTGATATTACAGAAAAGAGGGATGTTTTGAGAAGCGTGAGAGGAAGTGAATGATTTCTGTTTTTGAAGGCTTGCACTGCAATCTGTTTTTCTTGGCCCACTCCATGATTGCATTAACACATGATTTCAATCTTTCCATGCCCAGCATTCTGTCAGAGGAGTTTATCTTTATGTAAAGTTGGGAATCATCAGCATATATCATACAGATTAGGCCATGTTCAGCAACAATGTCTTCTGTAGGCGAGGTATACATTAGAAAGAGTAGCGGACTAAGTACTGATCCTTGGGGTACTCCGTAGGAGATATGTCGAGGGTTAGAGATGGAGTGTTTGATCTTCACTGACTGGACACGATGTTCTAGGTATGATCTGAACCATTTTAGTGCGATACCTCCAAAACCGAAACGTTTCTCCATTCTTTCAAGTAATATGTTGTGGTCGATCGTGCCGAACGCAGCAGAAAGGTCTAGTAAAACAAGTACTACTTCTTCTTTTTGATCTACAGCTCTTAGGATGTCATTTGAGACTTTTAGTAATGCAGTTTCAGTGGAGTAGTAGTTGCGGTATGCTGACTGCATCGCTGGAAATAACTGGTTCTCGACCATATATTTGTATATTTGATTTGCAACCACCCTTTCGATTGTTTTCGAGAGAAAAGATAGATTTGTAATCGGTCTGTAATTTGAGAGACAGTTCGGGTCCAATGAAGGCTTCTTTAAAGATGGACGTACCAGGGATTGTTTTAACTGATCAGGAAAATCTCCGTTAGCCATAGAGGCGTTGATACTCTTGGTTATAATTGGCGTGAAGTGTGGATTTGACTTTAGATTCGTGTTGAGATGGGATCCAGTTGACAAGATTTAGTTGGAGATTGAACAATACGTTTGTGAACAATATCAGTAGATACAGGTTGAAAAGTTTGGAACGACGAGGTGACTGGATAATTGACGTTGATGTCGGGTGCTTGGACAGTATGGGAGTCCAAATCCGATCTTATTTTCTCAATTTTTTTGATAAAAAAATCGTTGAACGTTTCGGTCAATGTATCCAATGAATCATTATTAGGGAGTGCAGCAATGTTCTTCGATAAGAATAGGCGAGATACCATCTTGAATAGTTGTGATTGGTCAGAGGAGCTGATCAGAGTCCGATAATAGTTTGTCTTTGTCGCTGTTAGAAGATCATTGTAGTGTTTGCAGGAATCAATAAATATTTCGTGGTGAATTTGAAGACCAGATGAAATATATCTTCTTTCATGACGACGTTTGTCTTGTTTAGCCTTACGAAGTTCATCAGTATACCAAGGAGAATGCGGTCGCAGAGTGACCCATCTCTCGTTCACAGGAGCATGTTGATCAAAGATAGACGAGAGATTAGTATTATATTGTGTAGTCAGCTCAGTTACACAAGACTGTGGATTAGTAATGAGATTAGATTCTTCGATGTCTTTGATCATACTAGCTAAATCAAGCCTTTTGGTGTTTCTGTGTTTAACATGTAGTGTAGAAGGTTTCGGTTTTGTACATTTCACCTTACAAGTAACCAGATTATGATCTGAAATATTGTCGGCTGATAGAATGCGAACATCCGTTATAACATTATTCTCTTCACGAGATAATATTAAGTCCAATGTGTGGCCCAGGCGATGAGTGGATCCAGATACATTTTGAATTAGATCAGTGGACTCAAGGAGATTTAGAAAGGAGGCAGCTTCAGGATTTGATAGATCATCAACATGGTAGTTAAAATCACCGGCAATTATAATGGGCTGCCTTGATAATGTAAGTTCTTCAAGAAAAGATGAGAATTCTTGCAAAAAGCTATTTCCAGTGTTGTTCTTTTTGCACAGAGGAGGGCGATAGAGAACAATTAAACGGAAAGTCTCACTTTTGTTGGATATGCTCACATCTAAGTACTCAAATGAGCTTTTGTTCATGATGGAATTTTGCAGTACGGTATAACCATCTCGTATCAACAAAGCGACTCTGCCGCCCTTACGATTCCTTCTTGGTATGTGGGGGAGTTTAAAACGCAGAAGAATGTTGTTGATGTCAGTAATAACATGGTTATCATCCTCGGTTCCTTTAAGCCAAGTCTCTGTTATGGCCAGGATGTCTAAATGGTGGGAGATGACCAAATCGCATAAATGAGTCGATTTCTTAACAATCGAACGTGCATTGAGGAGAGCAAAATTACTGGTGGATTTGGTTCTCGGTAGATGGCCAAGGCGTGTGATAGAGATTACATTGTTGATGTTTCTTGAGTAAATTTTCTTTGGTGGTCGTCGATGCGTAGAAACAATGGTTAGAACGTAATGATATTCAGAATCTTCGTTTCGAATAATTAAATCTTCCTTCGGTTGAGAAATTGCTCCAAAGTCAAATTGTGACGATAAGAAACTTATTTCAGGACCAGGGTTATAAGCAATGTCACCACTTAAAGTAAGGCGAGCTTGGTTGAAGGTGGCAGTTGAGTTAGCGTACTATTTGACTTTGGATGCGTTGTAACCTTTAGGTCGTAGACAAACAAAGCGAGGCCGATTAGATGTTGAATACCAAGGTAGTAATACAGCAGAATTCCACTCGTTAGGATACAAACAATGATTCTTGCAAATATAATAGAAAGAGGAAATGTCTAGGCAATCCATACGTCGTTTTTCAATCGCAATAATATAAAGAACTGTGAAAAAAATAAAGAAAATCAAGCAGCGACATGAAGCACGTCTGTTGCCCATAATTAGCTTAATTCGCTTGTTGTTGCCGTTTATCCGCTCAGGATTCTTAGATACATATGGATTATTTTTTTTGAAACAGATCCTCACTCAAGAGAACTGGAATCTCGTGATGTACGATGGAATGCGCGCCACAAGCCATTGGGCAGCCTTGTATTTCATAGCACTGATGGCTGTCGGGTACTATGTATTATTTAACGTGCTGGTTGCTATCCTCGTGGAGGGATTCACAAATTCAGGGGTAATTTATTGGAATTTAGATGATTTTTGTGATATTACCTGTGGCAGTTAAAATTGAAGAATGGGGTTTTTGACAACCTCATCACACAGGCTTAGTCCACGAGCGATCTCTAAATTTACGAACTTCCTCGCCCCGTGTCCATGCAGGACGCTGTCCTAGGATAGAGTGACTTCATTCCGTTCTTCAATGCATTTGTTTTCGATGCATCCATCGAAACACAAATTTTACTTGACAAATTGGCCTAACTCACTGCATTTTCCCCCAGAAACGTAAAACTACGCCAAAGAATGAACCAGGAGCATCAAAGAACGAAGATGCACCCAAACCAGCCTTTAAAGAAGTTGAAAAGCCTCATATTTTAATATCTTGTAAAGATTCTGAGGAGTCTTGCCCCGGGCATTATCAAGAGGAACCAGTTCCAGAATTCTGCAGTCATGGCGTGAGAAACGCGTTGGGGTCGACATTTCAACTGAGGTCGAACTACACGCCGAGTCTCTCGTTAGCAACGTTAGAGCCATTACAGGACAAGAAACCCCCAACTGCTGCTCAACCGACAGAAGCGAACATGACCATGCCGCAATTAAAGCGCATGCGCCAGGCGTCAGCGTCAATTATACGAAAAACTGGGCAAATGGCTCACAGCACGGACTGGCGTCATGACGAACCCATCTTCTCGGTGCATAATAGAGGCTTTCTCGGTGACGATATGGAAACCAGAGGCAAGTTACATCTTGAGGTCTCTGAAAGAGAAAGATGCAACAAAGCTGGTGGTAAAACACTTGAGGAAATTGTGTCTCCGACCATGGCTTGCAGTTTGTCATTTCCAAATCAATCGGAAGGAACAACATCGTATCAATCTCGACCGGAGTCACCCCACATGATCTTTCAAAACAATAGCAGCGATGAGATGTACCAACCACGAGAATGTCATCTTCCCGAAGCTCAGGTAACACCAAACGATCTTTCTGACGTTTGAACACATATATTTTGAAGCCACATCTTTGGCGCACTTTTTCCTTTTCCTGTTTTGAACAGGAGATTGCAAAATCACAATCAGAAAACCTTGCCCAGATCATTTATATTTACAACACTTCATGTCAACAGTATCGAACTCCTTTACTTGATATGTTCTTCATACGTGAGCACGAGCGTGTTATTTGGACCCCGTCAATGATAATAATTTTAGGGGAAGCCCACTGATTTTAAATCATATGGATACAACTTTAAATTATCTTTCTCTTTGTCCAAGGAGTGTACAAAGAAAGTTAACAAGATAACACGGAAAAGATCTGACTGGTCTTTGTTTCTGTTCTCTCCCTCAAATAGGTAAGCTGTTTTTCACTAGATGGCTTTGACGTTTCAGATGGTATTTTAGTAGTCTAAAACTTTACGAGAAAAATTTTATACTCATGTAGGAAGAAAAGGCTTTAATGCGAACACTTTGAAACGCACTTTCAGTTATTCTACACTGTATTATTACTTCATAAAGCCATCGCTTTGTTTTTTCCTCATCAGCTTCCGTCGCGCTGTTATGGCTGTGTGTGAACACAAGTATTTTGACTACGTGGTGCTAGCTTTTATCTTGATAAGCTGCGTGGTACTGGCACTAGAGGAGCCTAACATTCCACGAAATAGTAAGGTAAGCTATGGTGACCAGACTCCCATAGGCCATTATTCATTCTCAGTGTAAGTAACTCGTGGAAAGCTATTTATTAAAACTGTGCAAAAAAATAATAAAAAGGATTTTAATAACATTTTACGGCCATAGACATTTCTCACCAACGAGATGATGCGACTTCGAGTAACACGAATTAATTTCGATGAATATTCGTTCGGTTCGTTATCTTGTTATTTATCTAGAGTTTCAATTTCTTTTCAGAAACGCCAAATAATCGACATCGCGATGCATATATTGACAGTCATCTTCACTATTGAAATGTTAATGAAGGTACACTTTTTGTTTCAGATTAATGGTATAAATTAATATGTAATCGACGATTAATAAACCGGCTTGAATCGTAAGAAACGTTAGTGTGCGACAGATATTTTTGGCTAATTCACGTTCTCAAAAGTTCTCCCACTCATTGAAACTCACTATGTCCGTCGAGTTCCTTTGGGAGCCGTCTCATTAAAAACCTGTCAAATAAGAAAAGCTAGGGATCCTAATAAAATAAATTTGGAAAATGATATTCCATAGATCATAGCCCAAGGCTTTCTTCTGGGTGCTGGTACCTACCTAAAGGACGGTTGGAATATCCTGGATGGGATACTTGTACTTTTCTCCTGGATTGACGTCATCATTACGTACAGCCCTGCCGATGCACCAGAAGTACTTGGAGCTCTCAAAGTCTTCCGTGCGTTAAGGACTCTAAGACCTCTGAGGTTAGTTTTTTCATTCCGCGGAAGACACTGTTCAAAAGGCAGAACGTTCAGAAATGCTCGGTCAGTGAAAGGGGCCATTTTTCAGGTTAAAGGTCCTTGAAAGATGGAAAGGAGTAACAAAAACTGCAATTGCCTTTCGGTCAACTATCTTGAGAATACTTCGTGTTTTCCTTTGCTGCTAAAAAATACCTGAGGGATTAATATTTTACTTTCAGTGTACAGACCTTATTTCAGTTTTTATAATTATAAAATGTTTGTTTGTTGTACGTGTACTTACAAGTGGGACATAAAAGAGCGTGGAACTCAGTTTGCATAATCTCTGTGCAAAATTCATCGATACCCCCAAACCCAAAAAGTGTCTGTATTAAAGCGAAAACTACTATTTATACTATAACTGATACACGGAACTTGAAGGTTTCTTTACTGCGCAGATATAGCGAAGGCTAGGAAACGAAACAAATGACATCGGAATGAATACATTTTAACTTTTTGATAACCCATTTCTATCAGAATGATTCGCCGAGCCCCAGGACTAAAGCTGGTCGTTCAAACTCTATTATTCTCTTTGAAACCGATTGGAAACACGGTCCTCATTGCTGCCATTTTCTTCGTAATGTTTGGAATCTTAGGGGTCCAGGTAAGAGTAATTTTTGTTTTAGGAACACAATCATTCTACAAATGAATAAAGGCTGATAGTCTCTAAAGAAACGGTTTGGGGCTGGGTCGGTGGGGGTAACGAACTAATTTGAATATATCAACAAAGTTGAAATGATAAATTGGCCACCGTTACGATTATAAAAGCTGACGTTTCGAGCGTTATCCCTTCGCTCCGACGAAGGGCTGACGCTCGAAACGGCATCTCTTATAATCGTAACGGTGGCCAATTTACCATTTCAACTTTGTTGATATATTAAAATTATTACAATCATTCTACGTTTGCCATAATTTTTCATAAATGGCGGTCGAACTTTCCTTAGAATCTATCTTTTTTATAAGGTTCATCCCTTCCCATTCTCAGCCAAGACACTTAATTGGCTCCTTACGATGCAACTTTATTTATTATTCATAGTAATATTTTAATTAATCCACGGAGTACAAACGTTTGAGAGTCCTGGTTGAACAATATATTTCTATTTTTTTTTTCTTCTTTCAGATCTTTAAGGGAACGTTTTATCATTGCGAAGGAGACAGCGAAGTGAAGGACAAGAAGGACTGTAGAGGAGAAGGTTGCTGGCAAAACCGCATGTACAACTTCGACAACTTATTTAATGTAGGTCTTCACATATCATAGTCATTTCTCGTAATATAAGTTCCTCGTGAGTAAAAGACTAAGAGTTGGTAATGTTAAATGAGTTGGCAATGTTAAATGTAGTTAGCCAATTGCAGTAAAATAAAAAAAAATAAATTAAACCATGAGACCTTCAGTCAATCACACATGATGCATGGATTTAGCCAAATATACTATTTGTTCATCTGGTAAATAGAGCGAAATCTTTTTTTTTTAACGAGTCATGGAGCTAGCTGAAAATAAAATTGAAAGTCGTTCCAACTGTGTTCTTATTTATAGGCTTTGATATCCCTTTTCGTGTTTTCCACGCGCGATGGATGGGTAGAAATTATGCACCATGGTATCGACGCTGTTGGAATAGACAAACAGGTGGACTACTTACCAATAAGTCTGAATCTATTTATGAGCCTAAAATGACTCAATCTTGAGCGTGTGTTACTGATGCTGTTTCCTTGCCAATTGTCTTGTTCCTGCTTATTTGTCGAGATGGAATTATCCTCGTACACCCTAACATCAGTATGCATATTCTTCATGCTGTTATCTAGACATTTCATAAAGTGCCGACATTCAAGAGCTTCTTTAGTTGCTGATTTTCAGTTTGTGGTGACCTTAATGTGTGATTCAGGGGTGATATTCTTCACTAGTAGGGTTTAAAGGGTTAAGAACCAAGTTAAAAAAAGATTGTCTCGTCCAAGAACAAGATCTAACATTTCAGGAATCTATTCCTTTTGCGAACTCCTTTCAAACGATTCTAATAACCTCATTACTACAGTAACTGGTTTAATAAGTGATTTGTTTACTCTCTCTCTTTCCCTCTCTGCTATATTTAATACAAGACGAATTTTTCCTTTTCAGCCCATCAAGAACTACCGTGAATGGAGACTTGCGTATTTCATTCCTTTCCTGATGTTAGGAGGTTTTCTTGTTCTTAACATGATTGTGGGGGTCGTTGTGGAGAATTTTCAGCGTTGTCGAGAAAGACTAGAGGACGAAGAGCAACAAAGGAGACGGAGGAAATTGCTCGAGAAGGCGAGAGATAAGAACCAGGAAGGCAAATACAAATTCATGTTTTCGAAATCTTGACAAACATTTACCAGTGTGATACGAGAAAAGAATTCTTAGGTGTTAAGCACTGACTGGCACAATGGGGTCTTGTAACAGACTTTTTTCAGTTTCTGATGCGAACGGTTGATTTTACGTGAATCTGTAACAGTAGCGGCATTTGTACCGATTTATTTCATTTAGTTTTTGCCCCTTCATCATTTACAGAAGTTGACCGAACATATTATGAGAGTTACAGTCCTTGGCGACGCCACATTCATGACATGTGTCTTCACCTGTACTGGGACGTGGCCATCGCCATTGTGATTTGCTTAAATGTCCTCTGCATGTCTCTGGAGCACTACCAGATGTCCAAGGTGAGAAACATCATGAGACTGTCTCACTTTGCTCTATCTCTTGACACGCATGTCTTGTAATGATCGTTTCGAGACCCGTTTCTTTTTTCCTCAAAGCAATGCTTTGCCCTTGATTGAAAAAGATAAAAATATAGTTTTAAATTCATATTACTCGTCTCTCGATGCAAGCTGAACAGTACTCAGTATCTGGAGAGGGTTGAGATCGACATATTTATATAGAGCTTTGAATGTCAATGTTTTTCAGTCATGTCAAGTTTGGGAGGCTTCCTCTACCGATAAAATATATCGATATAATTTTCATTAATATATTCCAGATAACTTCTTTTTGAGTTATTTCCAGTTTGTGAGTTTGTATAGTGTATGCGCATGTTAGCATCTACCTATGGATAACTGCACAATATATGTAGATATGCTCATATTTACCTTCTTGAATTAACCAAATTCCTTTCATTTTCAGGCGTTCCAAAGATTTGTAGACACCGCAAATTATTTTTTCGCTGCCGTCTTTGTTTTAGAAGTGATCTTTAAATTCATTGCGTTTGGATTCGTGCGATTTTTTAAGGATCGGTAAGTGTATGATTGATATCATGGTTATGTTTTGTTATTCAATAAAGAAGAGTTATGCCTTTACGACCTATGACGTACTTCTGGAAGATTATGAGGAATATACGAAGCAACCAAATCAAAATGAACGTATACAACGTGTTCTCTATTTTTGTATGACCTTTGAATTATGGTACAAACTTTATGGTGAGCCTTGAGATTCACCGTAACTAGGATGTTATAACTGAACCGATTCATGATTTGATCCGCAGGTGGAATATTATTGACCTGGTAATTGTGATTCTCTCACTGACGGGGATACTTATCCAATCCTTGCGCACCACCAAAGCGCTAGGCGCCAAAGTGCCGATCAATCCCACGGTTGCACGATCTCTGAGAGTACTGCGAATTATCCGAGGTTTGTTAAAGTTTTACCGAGCTTGATTATTTAATTTGCCTTTCATATCCTAGATAGAGAGAATGTTTTAACCAGAACTCCTAAATCTCCTTACACCTCCTAGAAGACCCCAAAAGGGGTGACCCTTTGGGGGCTGGATACAGGTCTCAGTCCCCAGCCTAACTCAGCCCCAATTTTTTTTTATAAATTATTCCCAATCCCCGTTACTTAGAATCATTTCTCAGACGACAAAAAAAGCTTCGCAGTCGATTTTTGCCCACGTAGCCAGGGGATTCTTTAATTCTCTGCAATTATTTTTCCTTCGGCGCTTATGCTTTGATGAATTTATCATTTGTTTCGACGGACAAATGTATCAACGCACTCTTTCAAAGAAGAAATGATACGAGAAATCGTTTTCAAGGTTCTGAAGGACTTTCAAAGTTCAGTTTAATCAGTGAGATTTCAAACACAAAGCTGATCAGCTCCTCTTTATGTTGTGCTTTGTCTTCATGTTAGTACTCAAGCTCGTAAAACTAGCAAAAGGAGTTCGTTCGCTGCTGGACACTTTGTTCGAGGCTCTTCCTCAGGTTAGCACAGAGATCATCAACTATGATTTTTATTGATATAACTTGAACTGAAGACAGCCAGTTAATCATTATAACATAACCAAAGTAAAGCGCGCGCTCTGATTGGTCAATTTAGCGTCCCCCATTTGCCCATGGGTGTACGCTACTGACGTGAGCAAATGCAAAGACTATTTTTCCGCGCGCGATTGTTTTTTCTGGTCACGTAAGATTTGTTAAATAAAAGGGAACTCTTTAGCTACAATGTATCTATGTTATGTTATAAAACAAATGATAAACACCACAGCGTACACTATTGAGTTATGGATGCACTTGGGAGGTTTGCTAAGCACTCAAGAAGCTAGAGTCGCTCTCGGCTATCGCCTCGAGCGACTCTTACGCTTCTTTCGTGCTTAGCAACCTCCCGCGTGCATCCATAACTCAATAGTGTACGCTGTGCTGTTTACCATTTGTTAATTAGATTACATTACTTCGTAATCATTGTTTTATAATTATTCTTCTCGTTGCCACCGAACCTCATTTCAATAGAAATGTTAACTTTCTTGTCGCGAAGATTCGCGTTGCTATCTGCACACTGGTATTTAGCAGAATAAAAGTAAATCCTTTCATCGTTTTTCTTATTTTATTTCAGGTCGCAAATCTTGGGCTGTTATTTCTGCTTTTATTTTTTATCTACGCCTGTCTGGGTATCCAACTTTTTGGAAAATTAGGTGAGGAAATATTTCATTAAAATGTACGTAACAACCCTTATCTTACGGTGCTTCTTACCGGCAATAACGAAGAGAATAAGGCGTGACAGCCGTGTATTAACTAATATTAAATCAACCTGAAAGCGAACCTTTAGTGAATTTGTTATACGTGAAAGGTCACAGTGTAGTTTTCTTTCCGTTTTACAGACTGCACTCGCTCGTCATGTCAAGGACTCGGTCCGCATGCGCACTTCAAGGATTTTGGCACTGCAATGCTGACTTTATTTAGGATAGCAACAGGAGATAATTGGAATGGAATATTGGAGGTAAAGGAATCAAATAATTTGCGAATGACCTATATATCAGTCACTAAAAAAGTGACTCATGTATCCGACAAGAACAGACTCATATCGCACTACTGAGCAACTCTACACCAACAGAAAGATCTTTATTTTTCATCGTGCCATGTCGGCCGGTTGGATAAAGAAAAATAACAAGTGTGGGTCGCATGAAGAGTCGGATCCTAGCCTTCAGATTCCGAACGCCGATGCTCTCGGAGCGCAGGTTGTCGAAGCGTTAGTCATATTATCATCGACAAGCGTTCTTTCAAGGACTACTCTCATCACTACGATAAGATTACACGACCACCGATGATTGTTAATCAAATTTCATCACTTCAGGTTTAGTTGTGCTATTCGGAGGTCTCTCAAGGTTAAGGTGTTGGGATATGCAAAGTGAGGGTCTTGTAATAATAATAATAATAATAAATAATAATAATAATAATAATAGCAAAAATAACATCATTATGGATGCCCTCGGGGGGTGGTCACGGGAGCTGGATGTCATGATGTGCGAGCTGGTGGGAGGCAGAAGCACAGACGTACTGCGAAAGATGCAGAGGGCAGTGCTCTCGGGCACGCTGAATATTGCCCGGACTTTCAAGGTGGCAGTTTGACTTTATGTTAGAAGGAGGACCGTAGACACGACGGAAAAGCTTTTTAGGATTAGTTAATGTACATTTATTTTATTACTCCACGGCTCACAGGTTACGGTTTTCGCCCTGTG